GAGAGAGAGAGAGGTTTGTTTTCATCCCCAATACTTAAGAGCTGATCAAAATAATTATTGAAATGGGGAAAAAATTACAAATATTTTAATTGATTTTTCCCTAATATCATTTCAGGCATTTTTTCAACAAATATAATTGAAAGTCTTTTCCAAATTGCCAGAAGAGCTGAAAAGTGTTCACTGATCCATACTACAAAAAAAAAGAAACACAAAAAAGTTGTTTATCAGTGCAAGTAAACTGGAAAAAATCAGTTTTTATTTCTTTTCTTCTAAAATACTGAAAAATGTAAATAGTTCTTCGTCAGAGATTCTTTAAAAAGAATCAACTCACTGTACTAAGTTCTCTGAGACAGAGAAGAGGACAAAGTAGTAAAGATGCCAAACAAACTGTAGAAGCATACAATGACCCTAATTTTATTTACAGTTCCTCATCTAAGTCTCTAGTTCCTCATTTATGACAGCAGCTAGATTTGTCCAATGATGCTCAACATTAATCTTTCTGGTTAATTAATGTCCTACACTAATGGGCTCTTGAAGAAATATGATGCAGTCCTCTTTGGCTGTTTAGTTACAGTGATGTGAAGCCTCTGGATGGGTGAATATAAAACAGAGAAACAATGTGGAGGTCTTTGGAAATATGAAGTCCACGTATCTCACGTGGAAAAAAATTCCAAACATAGTGAGTTTTTTGAGATGCCCATATATTTATATGAAATGTTTGTGGGACAGCATTAAAATAACTGGCAACTGTAACATGTCTTACCTTATAATGAGTGACACTACACAGAACACTACATTCATACTGATGGAACTGCAACATCCATTGTTAAAACATTTTCCTGTGCAGGCACTGAATATAGAAATTAAAGAACTGTTGATGTCTTGTTGGGTCAGTAAAAGAAGCCTTTTAAATACAAGTCACTTGATCTAAGGCAAAGAGAGAGAAAACTATTCTTTAAAAAAAAAAAAGCATTGAGAAAGTTGACTGTGCCAATGACAGCCATTAACTTTTGTATCATTTTTTGATCAAGCAGCAATTCTGTCATTGGTCAACACGTCAGTTTGCCCTAATTAAAAAAAATCAAGCAAAAGGCAGGATAGAGACGTACCTTATACCCTATTTTCTGCCTGATCTCAGACTAAAATAGTTAACCACCTCTCTAAAACTAAGCAAGTAAGAGTATCTATGTCAGAGGTACTGGTTAGCTTTTGTTGACTTCAGTGGTAGCTCTTACCCCAGTGATTTTGAAAAGTCGGCTAAGAAAGGAGACAAGAAATCAACTACCACTGCAGCTAGTAGAAGCTTTGGTATTGATTTTAGTGAGACCAGAACTGAATTCAGTCCCTTCCTATCTCCTTTCGTAACCCAGTATTCAGAGCACCAGTTGCTTCCACTGATGTCAGTGGCATAACTTCTGCTAACTTGAACGACAGCAGGATTGAGCCCCTGATCGTAATTTCCTTTTAGAGACAACTTGCTGTGAAATACATTCCAAATGACTTAATTATGATGCCATCACATTTTATTCTATACCAAAATAAAACAGCAGTTTGCAATTACCATATATAAAAAGAACAACAACAACACTCAATTTTCCCTCCTGCCCCAACACATACAAGATGCAGAGCACTCTGAATTCTGGTGCTTCTTCTGGAGCTCTAACAGCACAAACAACTGATCTTGCTGAAGGCGAAAAAAAAAATGTTTAGAGGTCCGCAAATGTTTCTAATTGGCAGCAGCAAATCGTTAATGAAAGATAAATGTGGTTCTGGGTGCCTGTGTACACAGGGCTCTTGCTGATGCAGAACTGATCTAAGCATAAAGTTAAAGAGACACTGGGGCTGGGCGCTCGCTGTTGCTGTGTTGGGACAGGATGAGGTAGATAGCTGGTTTCTTACCAGGATTCAGATCCAGGGCAGCTGGCCCACCCTCCCATTGGGAACAGTGAACAAGGAACTTGTAAAATACACAGACCAAATGGAAATGACCCCTATTGACTGAAACCAGCTGCATGTCAGGCTTCTCGCTGTCTCTCTTGATTTGCTATCTCAAATAAATGGATGTGGTAGAAGGGACCATGGAAAGAAAACAAAATAATTTATTCTCCTTGAAGTTGCGCCATGCTAATAGCCACAGTTTTTACAGCTGAAAAAAAAATGTTTACTCGCGCATTAAGTTTTTCCCTCCTTTTCTTTTTTTGGCTTTGAAAAGTATGCGGTTTAGAGCAAGACACATTGGAGTTCAGCTTCAGTGCATTTTGACAAATACAGCATGGGCATGTTCATTAGGTATTCGTCTTTTGTGAAAACGTTGGCTAATGATCGTTTGGTTTTTTGCATTTTGATTCGGAAAACAATTGGAACCGCTTTTTTGGCACTTTGGCAAAAGTTGTGTCGTAGTTCGGACATTTAAAACACATCTTAGGAAATTCTGAGTTGACGTACAAAATGCTTATTTTATTCAAGTATTTTTCCATATTTTTCCTTAAAAATGCTCTTGAATAACACCAGTTATCTGAAGTGTTGTGAAGAGCTGTTTGCTATAACCAGGGGAGCATAAGCTCGCAGATGTTAAGGAAACTGCTGCTGAGTCCTCCATTTTAAATGCAGGGTACTAGAGTGCCCATCTGAGGGGGACTAGAAAGAGTAGGAGGTTCCTTCCCATACAGCACTGCCTTGATCTATTGTTCTTTTGAGCAGATTATTAAGGTTGTGACAAATTATACTGTTTGGTGTTTTTAGCTGATGTGAACATGGCCAGAAACTAAATTAAAAGCTAGCAGACTGCTTTTTCTTAGTGCAAGCTGGTGGTGGATTAGTATGAGGCATAGGCATATTTTATGCAAGTTTCTTTTTTTTTCTTCTTGGTGAACAGATTGATTTGCAATGTATTACCAATAGGATCCCAAAACTGTCTTAGCAAATCTGTTAATCTGCCTCACTGTAGTGATCCAAATAAACTTAGTGGAAAACAGGTAGGAGACAACTGTTAGGAGAGATTATTTTTGAACTGGCCCTATTGTCCAGCACTTTCTCCCCCTTCCTCCTCCCCATTTTTCTTCTGCTATATTTCTTCCCTCCCCCAAAACCACCTTCTTATTTCTTTATGATTTATTCTGATAGGGACAGAAACCAAATAGTATTGCATTCCTGAACACAGCCATGCTACACCGGAGCCTTCAGCTGATATATATATATATATATTTATTTTTATTTTTTTTAAACAAGTAAATATGCAGTTTTTTTCAGTGTTCCTATCCATAAGCTGTACGTGTCCTGCCAATTAATTAAAATATCAAAAAAATGCAGTCCCTTCTCCCAACCATCCGCATGCAATCATATTGGGAATTGGATCATGTAATTATTGTTAGATGCTATAGGAAAGGCATTTCAGCGTAGAGCTGTGCTTTAGAAAGTGCTGTTTCTTGTTGGCCTGTTGTCAATTAAGAAAAACAGGATCATTCTTATAAATGAACTGACTAGTGGTATGCTGCTCATTATACATTCTGATCTTAGACAGAATCGGATGGATGATTGATTGATTAACTGACTCTTCAGTTACCTTACATACTCTATACTGGCATTTAGTGATGTTTGTACACTTCTTTCCTTCCATTTTATTTTTTTATTTTTTTTACCCCGCCACATCCACTAGCTGATTAAAGTTATTTGTGCCAATGGAGAGCAATTCAACTTAGTGGCTTCCTGATCATGAAAATAGAGCATGTGTTTTTATAGAATTATCTGCACTCAACTGATACTCCAAAATGGACAGCACATATATACAAGTATTTAAATCTGTTTAATGCACCTGACCACTAAATGACAGTTCTCTGGAAGGAACCCATTATCTAGGTGCTATGTAATAAGCTACTATAGAAGTTGGCAATTTAGTAATCAATGATGATTCTATGTTACCCAGAGAGGTGGTGGAAGCTCCATCCTTGGGGGGTTTTAAAACCTGGCTAGAGAAAGCTTTGGTGGGGATGATCTCGTTGGGGCTGGTCCTGCTTTGAGCAGGGGGTTGGACTAGATGACCTCCTGAGGTTCCTTCCAACCCTAACTTTCTATAATTCTATGTCACTTTTCCTCAATGTAGCTAATTCCCATTTATTTGTACCATCTAATAACTGGAAAGAAAGGGAATTCTTCCACCTGCAAATGCCATGACAAGAAACAAAGGGCCTTCTCCTGCAAATCTTATGCCAGCAAAACTTCTGTTGTCCTCCTCTGTTGTAGCAGTACTGAACATGGGAGAATTTCACTGATTTTAAGAGGATTCATAGTTAGGATTGAGTTAGGACTACAAAATCAACACCAGTATTAGTCAAAGCCAGGAGGACATCATATAAACCAAACTTAGCATGCAGTAATTTGCAACAGCAGATGATAGTGTTTCGCAGCACAGACAGAAAACCATGCAAATTTGCTAAATTTTTATATTACTGGTGAGGAGAAAGGCTTGTTGCTCATGCGCTAAAATGCTGAAAAAGTTATTTGTATTCTTGAGTTCTGAAATGTATAAAACGTATGTCAATGCTCTGATACAATAAAAATGTCTACTAATACAGGATAATACTAAATGGTAAAATGGTAAGAGTAGAACAAACATTAAGTTACAAACATTTTTTTTTTAAGTAAGAATGCATGGAACTATACATTTAATCAGCTGATTAAGAATGAAAAGATAAGAACCAGTTCTTTTCCCACAATAACACAGTAGCACAGTCTGCAATGTGGAAGCTTGTAGGCATTAAATTGTGATCCAGATGTTTGGGGGTAAATATGTATGTTTGATATTGACCAGGAAACTATATTATAGCCTAACAATAAAGGTGTAAAGTACCTCACTTTTGTTGATAAAGTCAACATGAACAGCAATAATAGAATAGGTATTTCTGGTGCCAATATAGTTTCTAAAACATTTGAAAATATGAAATGGCATACTCTGAATGCCCAATATCTTGATTATTGTTTTAAAATTCTCTCTCCTGTTCCAGAGATTGAAAGCAGCGCTGACTCATCATCCTGCAGCCATGTCAAATGGAAATATGAACACCATGGGCCACATGATGGAAATGATGAGCTCCCGACAGGACCAGACACCACACCATCATATGCACTCACATCCACATCAGCACCAGACACTGCCATCTCATCACCCATACCCTCATCAGCACCAGCATCCAGCGCACCATCCTCATCCTCAGCCCCATCACCAGCAAAACCACCCACATCATCACTCCCACTCGCACCTTCATGCACACCCGGCACATCACCAGACTTCGCCACACCCGCCGTTACACTCGAGCGGACAAGCACAGGTAGAACTATTCACAGAATTATTCTCTGTTCCAGAGCAAGTTTAGAAATGGATGTCTGTTGCTTTCGTATGCACATGGTCTCCAAAATGAATCCTCTGCTGCTAATAATAAGTTTACTCTGCTGTTGGCTGTGAAGTTGCAAACTCTTATTCAAAACACGTCACTTTACTCAGAAACAAGAAACTTTATTTCAAACCTCTGTCATGCTAGTAGGCAGCCCTAAGGTCTGTTTAAGCTGAGATATCTACAAATTGCCAAGCGTCATTGACATTCTTGCTATCTGATGGAGTTTGGCACACTGGGTACTGTTGTCTAACAGGTTGAGGTCAAGTTTTTAAATTCTTAGAAATTCTGTCCTCAGAGATGGTTACATAACTACCAAAGATGTAAATGACATTGCACATGCATATTTGAGGGAAGACCTCTCCCTTGGATATATGTTATTTTTATATAGTATAACAACCTTTGCTCACAGTATCAGAAAGCACTTTACAATGAGAGTCAATTATAAGATGACATAGAAAAATAAGTATTTAAATAGAAATGTCTTTAAATTAAATCTTCAGATCTATAGATACCTTTACTTTGATTCTGGATCCATTTTTTTTAGCTTGCACTTATTTCTATCTGAGAAACCAAACCAAAATAAATTAAGATCTGAATGAAGTAGAACTTTGCTGAAGTTCAAATAGAAACCTATACCTCAGAAAGGCAATATGTACCATGTATAATTTTAAGGCAAGAGTGAAAGATATTAAAGCTTTGAAGGAGAGAATAATTCTGGACCTTGTAGATGGAATACTTCTGGTGATGGAGTGGCTTTCAGCTGTGCAAAGTTACCTAACTGAGATAGGGATTAACTGACGGAGCAGGTGAAGTTTAGTAGGTGAATGTTATGGCATGGAGAGAGGAAGTGGCCTGTCCATAAAGTGAAATTTAAACCTGAAAGGTAATGTTGAATTTAATTCAGGTGGTGGCAAGCCAGTGAAGATAAAGAAAGATGAAAGATCTGTGCTTTTAGACAGAAAGATGTCTGGCTTTGGCCTGCTGGATCATTTGCTATTTAAAGAACAGGGATCTAGGAACGCTGTCAGCTGAAAACTGTAGTAGTGAATTCATGAACAAGGATTTCAGTAGAAACTACATGAATTCTGGCTGTTTTAAAGCGGTGATAAAATTCTATACCTTGAAAAAGTATAGATGAAAGAGAAAAGTATATTAATCATGACTTCAGAATGTGAGGCTTTGGGAGCAAAGTTCAGAACTGTGTTCAGAAGGGTAATAGTGAAATCAGCTACAGAACATAGGGGACTTCTTATGTCTCATGGGGAGTTGGATTCATGAGGATTTTTGATGCTTACAGGTTCCTCACAGGCAGCTCTTGGAAAACAATGGAGATATTAAAAATAAAAAGATATGGCTGATATTCCAGTATCCCATAACATTGACTATTCACTGCCTTTTTTTCCTATTGCTCTTACTGCAGCTATATAGGATTTCCCTATAATGTCAATTTTAGAGGCGGCGGCTAAATAAGAAAGCCTCGGTGTTGATCACCATAGAAAAAGCTATTAATAAATTAAATAGTCTCATTGACTTAACGGAAACAGGATAAAGTTCCAGTTTGGGCTACCGTTGTATTAATTGCCTACCAAAAAGGAAAGTAGTACACATGTGCTAAGACATGCTAGTCTAATGAGCTAATTAGCATGCCACCTGGTACAGGATTTTGTGCACCCTGCCCCTGATAAGTGCTCAGGACATCTAGTAACTGCATCTTATACCCCTCTGAATGCTTGCAACCCCCTCTGGACTTCGGTCCAAAAGGAGTGTGAAGAGTTTGGAACTGAATGCAATATCAGTATTGGCCACCAACACAGCATCCTCATCCATCAGCTGGGCCAGGGGAGGCCTTGTAATCAGGCCTAATTGTCCCAAGGAGGTTGAGAACTACTGGTGGAAGGCTAAGTAGTATTCTAGGATCCATAGGTCAGCTGCTTGCCTAGACCACAAAACAGTTTTACCCTCTCCTGGGACACAAGAGCTATAACCCCTTCTAAAAGGATGCATTAACAGGAATAAAAGGAGGGTTTAGCGAGTAATAAACACAAGGTTATTACTTTCTAAGACCATCCATAATCCCCCTGATATTGGCCTCTCTGGGGGTCAGATTGCTTTAGCAGACATTAATTTTATGGTGCATTTTACTAATTATTAACCTCCTCATTCCACGAGCCGGATACCTCAGTTCCAAGCTGCCTGTCAAACAAAGGCATGAGCTGAATTGTTGTGTGTGCTGCATGCCCTTTGCCATAACTTTCATTATTCTACACCATGCCCTTGTGTAATGTCAGAATTAATTTCATGCTTTTCAACAGCCAGTTTGAGACACACATGAGCCTAATGAATTATGTTTTGCTAAAACGAATGAATGACTACTAATAGTGTGTTATGTTACAAAGAATAAAAGAAAGTAATGGATCAAGGATCAAGGTAAAAATGGTTGTTTAATGTGTCCCTTTATTAGTGATAAATGTTTTGCTTTATGGTGGCTGGTTTGCCTCAAACATTACAAAAAATTACTCTAGCATTGTTATGTTTGTTGCATCAAAATTTCTTCCTATCAAACTCGCTGCTGTGACAGCTTAGGCACAGCAGGATCATTTGTATTTTGTTATAGTATATTACCTGTTCCATCCCTGTGTTGTTATGGATACCTGATAAGCAACCCTTAAAAATGTATTGGTCACCTTTTTTAGTAGCACATGCAATCACATGGGGTGGAAGGCTTTAAGGGGGGAAGCCCCGCTGAAGAATAATGCTTAAACTATTATCAAGATAAGGCCTAATAGACTTCAGGGTCAAAATATATCTAGGATGATTCAATTAACTATCCCACATGACATCAAGAATGGTGCAGCCTTTCCAATTCATATCTACCAAAGATGGAAGGACAGTGTTTTGCAAGTTTGCCTCAGTTACCCAACTACAGATTACTTCAACTGAAAACAAAACGAGCCACTATTTATAGGGGATTCTAGGAAAAAAGTTTTTTATATAGCAGCCCTGTATGTCTGCATTACAGACATGACTGGCAGAGCTGAAAAACAGAAAAGCTTTTCATGCTGGATGAAAAAGGAGAGAGAAATGGGCTAAGGAAAGCTTTGGTATCCAGAAACATAAATAACAGTCCTTTGAAGTCTCAAAAGGTGTTGTATTTGAAAAAATGAAAGGCCTTTGATGTTATGTTGACATTAAGAGAGATCTCTGAGACCTCTATATTCAGACATGTTGCTAAAGAGGCAGCATGAACAGCCCCAGTGGATGTGAAGCAGCTGCCACTGCTGAACAGTAAGCGCCTTCAGGGAGTAAGAGAGCACTTGGTGGTAAGGGCAGACCCAAACAGTCCTCCAGAATGCCAGTAAGTGCAATCACTCCATCTACACCAGCAAGCTCCACTGATGGGAAGAACAATATAAACTGTAGTGTAGATGGGGTTAGGGAATTTTTACTAGCATGTGTTTGAATTGTCTAAAAATTCAGTTTCTAATGAGCATCCTTCAAATAGTGAGTTCTGGCTTATTAAAAAAATAAGTCTTTAAAGAAAGTTTTCACTGGTTTTATTTCTCATCTCATCTCATTTCCAGGGCTTTTCAACAAGGGTGAAACTGATTCTGATTGTATGAGGTGTGGAGAAGTGAACTTGACTATATGAATTAAGTGCTCTGAAGTGCACAGATTAACCAAAGTAAATGAAAAATAGAGAAAAACAATAGTATCTTTTTCACTATTATCAATTGTATTGCTATTTGGCATGAAGCCTTCAGATAGAAAAGTTATTTTGCAGGCTTGGACACCAAGGCTTATGATTTTGATAATTCAGGTTTCTAGCAAGTTCTAAATTTCTGATTCAAACAGCATGTTTAATGCTGGGATTTTTCAAAGGTGATTAATGACATGGCTGTACAGTATACTCACCATGCCATGCAGTGGCACCTTCCAACACGCTGTATTGCTCCATGTGGGCTGCCTCCTAAATTGTAAGAGATCACATCTACGTGACACTGCAGGCAAGTTAATTAGCATGGAGGTGGGGAGTGGGCTAATCACTGCTGAGTGAGAGTGTCAGGCTGAAGCACTGCACAGAAGCAGCTCTACTGGTTTCAGTATTGGAAACAGCCTGCTTGAAACTACATAGCATGCATGAGAGTAGTGCTACTGCACACACTAGGTTTACCATGGAGACATGACCATACACCAGTATACTGATGGGAAAAGAGGTACTACATACAGCATCTCCAAAGAGGCGTTTACTACCAAAACATGCACTAAGGTATATGTGAAATAGAAATGGCCTAAAAGTATGAACATAATTAAAAACTTCCAAGGCCCTTGCAGTCTTCTCCTTTGATTAATTAAAAAACTTGCTATGCGAAAACTAACCTCCCATGTTGAATCAGGCACTTTATAAGGATACATTTTTAATAACTAAGGAAGGAAAAAATGTAATTTTCCCTGCTGCAGTTCAGAAAACCATTCCAGAAATCCTCCCCTTGACTAGGTTGGGCATTTGTCATAGGCTAATTTAAATGGCATCTGGTGGAATCTTTCAATCTGTGCCATCTTTAGATCTTGCCAGAACATCTGCAAACCTTAGGCCATACATTGGTGATAATTTTTGTTTAATGGTTCCTCCTTTTCCCCCCCTTTCTTTCTTTTGAAGCACTTGATATTGGCTAGAGCTCACCAACCCACCCTCTTTGCTAAACTTTGTTTCATTTCATCATAAGGTTTCACCAGCGGCACAGCAGATGCAGCCCACTCAGACAATACAGCCGCCTCAGCCCACTGGAGGGCGTCGGAGGAGGGTGGTGGATGAAGACCCAGATGAGAGGAGGCGAAAATTTCTGGAAAGGAACCGAGCAGCTGCTACACGCTGCAGACAGAAGAGGAAGGTCTGGGTGATGTCACTGGAAAAGAAAGCAGAAGAACTCACCCAGACAAACATGCAGCTTCAGGTGCGAGCTACTGTCTGTATCCTCATGACACAGAGGCCCTGTTTACATTGAAAGGCTTTTGCTGTACCACTGGTTCTTGTTGACATAAGTATTACCACTGCACGTTAGATGAATAGTGAAAATCTGGACATAATCGAAGTGTGCTAATCAAGATATATGCTTAAATAAATAAATATATAAAAATTTTAATTCAGTAGGATCAGCCAGGAAAAATGATCTCAAAATTTAGAAGCTTTACTAGGCTGAGTCATGTATTTTTAAAAAAAAAGTGACAAAGGAACAAAAACCCCAAACAGCTAGTAACTCAGCTATAAAAGACTACTTCTTTAAGAAAAAAAAGAACACCGCTAAATTTTAATCCAAAGCCATCCGGATGCAGTTATAATGAGAATTGCCTGTTTGTAAGGGAACAAAATGGATGGAAATCATCTGAAAACAGTAAATAGTAAGGGTCCTAGCATCTTCTCAATGTTTAGTAAATGTAGGTTTCCAGGACTCACTAGTCCATAATTATTTACATAATCATTTATTTCTTAAATGCATCAGCATGGATTACCTTGAGCAGAATAGATCCAAGTGGAGCTTTGCACATTGAGTCTTGTAACATCTCTGCTGTCATGGTGGCATATTCTAGATGGCAGCAGCTGGGCTTGTCTACACATGCATTTGATCCGGGATCAGTTTACTTGTGAGTAAACTACTTGTTAGCAAACGCTCCTGGGCAGGCATCTACTCATGCAGAGAAGTGGGGCCAGATATGCTGCTAATGGCACCAAACTGTTCCTGCTTCCTGGGCTCCTGCAATGGGCCCCTGCCACCATCAGGGAGAGCTCTACTCTCTCCCAGGTACTAGCTCAAGGGCTGGCAGGGAGCACCAGGTCAGGAGACAGGGATCTTCTGGCCAGGGCTGGGACATTACACCTTGCCCCCAGGGGGTGCCTGCTGCTGGGGAGGGGAGGGGACAATATTCCCCTGCCCTGGCAGCAGGGAGCTCCTGGCCCTGGCTCCCCAATCAGGGGCAGGAGAGGAGCAGGTCCCAGCCCTTTGCCCCAGTCTGCCAGTGGGGCAGCTAGCTGTGGGGAACAGGCTAGGGAGCTTGTTCCCTGCCCAGCTCCATTCTTTTGGAGCTGGGCAGGGAACAGGTACCTAGCCTTTGCCAGCAGGGAGCTCCCACCACCAGCTCTGTGGTTGATAACCTTATCTCCCAGAGCCAGCTCAGCAGTCATGAGGCCAGCACTGGGAGATAAAGATCTCCCAGCCCCCATTCCCCAATCATGATTTCAGAGTGGGAGGCTTGGAGCTCCCTGCTGCCAGGGCAGTGGACATAATCCCCACCCAGACTCCTATGGCGGAGTCCACCCCACAGCACGAGCATTACTACACCATCACTAATCAAAAGTAAATTTGTTACTTGCATTTGCAGATAGCAAATTTACTTGCAATTAGCAAGGTTCACTCTGTAGTAAGCACATTCACATGTTGACTGCACAGTAAACTACACTACTTTGTAGTTAAGCATCTCGTCTACATGTGCCTGCCATGTACAGTATTGGGCCACCATTTGGTCTAAGGGCCACGTTTTAGCTTGCCCTGTCTATACTGAGAACAATACTTTCTTTGATTTAAAACACTGAAGGAAGATGCTCATGTGATCACAACACAGCTCGCTATACTTACTGGTTTGCCTACAGATGGCAAGTTTCAGTCAGTGAATAGAAAATAATTTTTAAAAATCCCACATCACATACCTCTGCGTTAATGTAAAGTATGTGTATGACAGATGTCTATGACTCTCAGATTGTATTCAGTTAGCGAGTTCTGAATGCACTGAGTTTTATCAGCTTGTTTCAAGATGTGCTGCAAGGCTCCTGGGCTGACTCTGCATCTCTTTATGGGGATGGTAATCTCATAACTGACTATCCCAGTTTTATGACACTTTGCACAAGCACAGCAACACAAAGAGACCATATTGCAACTGAGGACCAGGATTATTGTCTTGCTGCACTTACTGGTTTTGAAAACTCAGTCACAGAATTTTTCAGTTTTATATTTAGTTTTTGTAAAATAACAACAACAATAATAGTTGTTATTAATAGCAGTCTAGTTTTTCAGGAACACATTCAAATAAACTAAATACCTTTTCCTCCCTGATTAATAGTGCAATATCTTCATCTGTGTGAGACAGAGAAAGAAAAATTAATAAATCCATAGAAATTGCCTTGCCTTTGAGTGGCCTCACAACTGAGCTCTATATTCACCAGCTAATAGGGACATATTTCAATAGAAGTTTCTGGAGATAATATTGCCAATCATTAAACAACAACCCTTCCCCTCTTTTGTAGTTTTTTTAAGTGCAAAAGCAGACAGTCCCACAGGTTTTTAAATTAGCAGACACAACCTGAGTCAAAGTTGGGTTTGGAACAGGCTGGGGGGAAGGGGAGAGGAAGCAGTTCCTGGACAAACCCAAGGTCTGTCAGTTTCAAGATGAACCAATCTTCACGCTCAATGAGAATGAGGTTTTGCTGACTGCAAATTTTAATAATTTGGTGACAAATTAGTCCTCTTTATACAAAAGAACATGTTATATATTATGCTAAATTACATTATATCACTTGTGAATTAAATATACCTGTTGAAAACCTATTGAAATATATATTTACAATATACTACTGTATGTCGGTGGATGCTGATCCCTTTAGGGCTAAGAACAAGTAAGTGCAATGAATTGTGAGTGAATCAGCCAAAATCAGTTTAAATGGTATGGAAGATACAAGCCAAAATAGTGATTTCTCTAAGTAAGCTCCCCTACATGATTTATGAGTCATTTCTCTCTCTGATGCTACTTATGATGCTAAGAGTCTATATTTGTGAGCTAAATCAGAGTAGGTTACTTTTTAAAAAATAAAATGACAAATTCATGTTTTTTATTTTTAAAAATGTTATCGTAAGTATTTGGCCTTGGCATTTTTTAATTTAAATGTCATTTCTTAATGTTTTAGTTTTTCTTTGTAATGTTTTCCATTATAAAAAGCAAATGGACCAGTCTGAGATGCACAATATTGCATATAGGATATACTGTATATTCAGAAACAACAATAGCACTAAACACACTAGTGTGACAAAACAATAAATGGAAACAAATCATAATCTACTACATTTTGAGAGCTGAAGTTAACAGAAGTACTCCAGATTTGCACTGATGTAACAGAAAAGATTTCTCCCAATATCCGTGATGGAAAAAATTCTTATGCAACCCCATTGCTGTAGTTATCTTGACAAAAGCACAAACATGAGAAGTCTTGCTGATTTGTTAACTTGTTTCTTCCAAATTTTAAGTAAAAGTCTTTCTCTCTCTTCTCTAGAATGAGGTTTCCATGTTGAAAAATGAGGTAGCACAGCTGAAACAGTTATTGTTAACACATAAAGACTGTCCAATAACAGCTATGCAAAAAGAGTCCCAAGGATATCTAAGTAAGTAACTGGTGTGTTTTGTGTTATCTATAGTTATTCACAAGAACCCCAAACAAAGGTGCCAGTTCTTCCCTCTACATTTACTTGTTATTTAGTACTTTCATTTGAACCAATCTTTCTGAACATCAGAGGATCAAGGGTTGAGATAAAATATCTAGAGATCAGTACATAAATTAAAACGAGCAATTTTAAAACTGATATACCCTCCCAATTCTGCAGCTGACTTTTTCATGGACAGGAGACTTCTGGGTTGCTCACTTGCAGATTGGGGCCATATGTTTCAACTAATTATGATATCTCTATTTGTAAAATATGCCATTTATTATTTATTTATCAAGCTCCAACCAAAAATAGTATTTTCTACTTCAAATAAATAAATAATGTTTCTGCCCCCCCCTTTATTTATTTCTTTATTTATTGAACTCAAAGCTCCAATTCTACAACTATACTACTGGGCACAATGCTGCTGATGCATTAAAATACCTCAGGGCTGTTCCTTGACTGGGTGCACTGGTAAGTGAAGTAATGATGGACTCCAAAGGGAACAGACAAACATATCTTTAAACCACTTTAAAAGGGGAGGGAAAGCTACCATTCAGGAGTGCGCCTCAGATGTTGTGATGCATCTGCATGATTCTGTAACAATACAAACAAGCTAAATGGCTCTTTGACCCTGAATGAAGCGAGGATAAGGTTTGGACACTTTTGCTTTGCTTGTATGTGTTCAGAACCATTGAGCTACAACATTTACAACCTAAGGGTCCAGACAGAAGTGCAGCTCCTAACTGTAATGCAGAATGATTTCTGCAAAACGTTCTGAGTTACAATGTTACCCCAGACCAAACAGAAGTTCACTGTTGGTTCCAGGGGGGAGGGGAATCTAGCTGCAGGCTGGGAGCTGCAGCCATAGCAATGGCCAGGGCTCTCTGCCAGTGCTTGCTGTTTCAGAATGGGAGGGGGAAAAGGCAGCAGAGGGAGCACATTCTTAGGACTCCCCAGCCAGTGCTGGAGGGTGGGGTAGGTGAATTGCAGCTCCCCTCCCCCACCTCAGGGGAGCTCCAGTACACCCCGCCCCCCTTCAGGGGGGGCTAAAAAAACCCAGCCTGAACTCCCTCTGCTCCCTTTCCCCTGTCTTATTCTGAAAACAGTGACAGGCTGAGAGCTCTGCAGACACAGATTACAGAAGACCCTCCATTTTAAAAGGGATGTATGTGGTAGCTGTGTTGGTCTGACACAAAAAGAAATGTAAAAATCTAGAACTCTTGGTTCTAAAATGCTACCTTTTATTAGACCAACTGAGAAATTGCAAAAAAAAAAATCTTTTTCTGTAAGCTTTTGGGTTCGTGCACCCTTCATCAAAGCCTGATTCCTGAGCCTGATGAAAGGTGCATGAGCCCGACAGCTTGCAGAAAAAGATGTTTTTATTTTGCAGTGTCTCAGTTGGTCTAATAAAAGGTATCATTTTGGAACCAAGAGTTCTGGATTTTTGCACTACATTTTGAAACATCTTTATCTGATACCTCATGCAATGAGGGGTCAGATTTTCACCTGATTGGCCATTTTTGAGCTGTTTGTAGCTATGCACTTGTTTGGTCACAGCTATAAACTGCTTTTTGTGGCCAGATTGGGCAAAAATTGTCACTTCTGACTAAGAGCGTAAATCAGTATCCTTTGATATCTTTAGTGTTGTTACCACTGTTTACCACTCTAACCAATTCTAATCATGGACTGAAAAATAAAAGGAAACTATCATTCCCTGAGATTGGTATAGTTGAGTTGTACAACTCTCTCCTTCTCTCTCGAATGTTCCTCTCTCATTTAAAAAACAAAACAAAACACTAACAGAGACACTGAAGACAGACAGAGAAAACAATCCAAGTTTGCCTTGTAAGTGTAGTAAGTGAAGGGCAAATTCCCTACTCAGCATAGCAAAAGGAGACTCATGACTCCCCAGTTCCTTGTCTGGATCTAGAGCAGCCCCGGGGCTGTTCTAATATTTGCCAGATGACAACATTCGCTTAAAGTAAAAAATGAGCTAGAATGCAATGTGCCAGCCATATCTCCAACACAAACACACGTTCTTCCTGCATTGGAGTCTTCAGGGAGAGTTATATAGGAGCCAGCTGCATGCCCTCTAGGGGTTTCTTACATCAACATGGGAAATAGAGCCAGTTTCCATCCTCTCTTCACCACAGTGTATCTGGCCTTTTCATGCCAGTCAAAGAAAAATAGAATTTCATTATATTTAGTACTATCATTTGCTTAAATTACCTCTTCTATATGGTGGCACACTGCACTGTAATGCAGGTATCAATTGCCTCTGCTGCAGCAAATAAAGCATTTCAGTAACCCAGTGTTATGAACTATTATGTCACAAATCTTATAATATTTGGCCTTTAAGGCTAAGTACAGACAGTCAAAAAGCCTGAGACTGAATCGATTCAATCTCGGCAGCTTCCTTAGTCTAAGCTGCATGTGTTGAACCAATAACCAACTGAACTGACATTCAGTTTTCAATTGGGAAAGGCAGGGGGAGGTCTGCACTTACCCAGGTCAGTAGGTGTGGGGGCACTAGAACACGTCTCCCAGCCTGCTGGCCATTGCCAGCCCAGCCAAGTGTCCCCGGGGCTGGGGGACCCTGGGCTGGGGTGGGAGGAAGGCGGGGCTCCCTGGTGCCCCCACACTGGGCTGCATGGCAGGAACCCAGCCTGAAGGACTCCTTCTCCCTCTCTCCTGTGGCAGCTGCTGAAACAATCAGCAGCTCAGAAAGAGGGAGGAGGGAGGGGAGAGGCCTGCCAGGAGATGAAAAGCTCCCACGACAGGGGCTTTTCCTCCCACCATGTGCTGTGTAGACCCTGGCTAGAGTGATCTGGGGGTGGGGGCGGTCTATTCCCCTGCCCCCCATCCCTATGGACTGACAGCTGCAGGCAGGAAGCAGGCTAAGGAGCAAAGGAGTAAGGTAGTCTCTGCTCCACAGGAGCAGGCAGCATAGCTCAGGGCTGCAAAGCATCCTAGGGTGCTGGGGAACTATGAATTAACTTGAACCAGGAAGGGATCTGGGACAAGTTCCATAAACTGGTTTGATCTAAATTATCTAAGTCTGATACTGCATCCAACCAGGTTTAACTTAAACTGGTTTGGGTCATTTTGAAAGTGGTTTATGTGCACTGAACTTCTATTCAGTTACAGGTTTAAACCAGTTTCTGATCACTGGTTTGTGTGCAACTTCAGCCCCTAGCCTAAGATAAAGTATTAGCTCCTGGAGTCATGTTATTATATGAGGACCTGATTTTAAAAGATGCCAAGTTTCTAGCTCTCAGTTTTGTGGGGAGAAAGTTGCAGATGTGAACCTTGAAGGCTCAAAAATCAGAGTCAAATAAAAAGCACTTGGGGGGGTGCATCTACATGAAATGTTTACTACTCAGTAGATTAATTAGCTGCAAAGTAAATGTTTCGGCGTCTGCATGTGCTCCCCTACTAGGCTGGAGTAAACTAATTTCCTCTGCAGCAGGATAGTACTTGTAAACACAGGTACTATCTTGCTACAGAGTAAAAAAAACTCCACAGTAGCACACATGTAGACTCTGCCCCAGCTGGCTATCCTTGCACTGAAGCACTCTTGTGCCTCAACCAGCCCTTCCATAGCATGTTTAGCTGAGGTGACCAGCCCCAGGCTGGCAGGCTAGTCCCCCAGACCCTCTGCCATCCAGGACTGCTCCAACCCAGCTCAATGTGCTGCACTCCTGGGCCCACATTCAAATGGCAATAAATTCCAGAATGTATTGCTCCGGAGTTTATTGCTCCCAGGCGCATGTTCAAACGATGCGCCCAGGTGTTTATTGCTCCAGAGTTTATTGCTTTGAATTAATTGCATGTGTAGACATGCCCTGTGTACATAATTTTAAAGTCCAACGATTTTGGATACATCCAAAATCTTTGAATACATGGAGTTGACAGGCCTGCAGCCTTCATGATAGGTCTTGTCTTTAACATTACTGTAATACAAGCACAGACTCCTACAGACATAATGTGATTTGTGTTCTTTTTTTTTAGGTCCTGAGAGTAGCCCTCCTGCAAGCCCAGTCCCAGCTTGCTCCCAACAGCAAGTCATCCAGCATAACACCATTACAACTTCCTCTTCTGTCAGCGATGTCGTAGGAAGCTCCACCCTTACTCAGCTTGCCAGTCACAGAACAGATATGAATCCAATTCTTTAAAACTGAATGGTCAAAACTGCTATGGGAGTGGTAGCATATCGGAAGTCCTTTATGTGAAGGACGTTTTCAACATTAACTCAGCCCTGGAAGACTCCTCAACCCTTGAAAGACTATAGCTTTCATTTTTATAGTTATTAAAATGTCTTTTATACTTAGTTACAAAAAAGGGAGTTATGCAATTAATATGCTATCAGCTTGAGAAGTGCTTTGGTGCTTTCTCCAATTTTTGGTACCAGTTGTTTATAAACTGAACTGTTTCTGTACATAGTCATGTTCCTTTCTTAACAGTCTAGCCTGAGGCCTCAGAAACATGGAGTTTTGTTAAATTGCAGCTTGTTAGCCAAAATGAGGCATACAAAGTATTAAAACAGAGTCAGACATTGGTAACTAAAACTATTAAGGCTATAAATATTTAGAGCATGCTCTGGTGACAGCATAATAAAAAATAAGTTAGCTTTGTGATACCACCGGAACCTCATCAGGTATGCAGAACCTCTTTCAGAGATAGAAATGCTTATATCATATGTGGATGTCAGAACAAAATCACCCCAAATAATACTCTCTCATGTTTGGCTTTCTACTTGTCCATGGCCTGTTAATCTTTATTCTTCACATATCTTCCCTTTCCCTTTCTTAATCCTCCAGTCCTTTCTTCTTCTTCAAGTTCCTCCTGTTTTTCTTCATTCTAAATCTCTCTCTCTCGATATTCTTCACTGCTTTTTTTTTCTTTTAAGAATATTAATAAAGGGGGAAAAAACTTTAAACCCACCCACAAAAAACTGTTAATACATCTGCTGCTCTCAATGCCTTCACTCACAGCTGGCTGAACTTTTGCTTTTTAAAAAATCAAAATGCAGGAGTTTAATGCTCCTGATTTAGTGTTTTTAATAAACAGCAAAAGTTAATAGCAGTTTAGTCACAGGTGAAGCATGACTGAAAGACAGCTGTGTTGATGCTAGGAGCCTTGTAAGATTCTGTGGTAAATGTCCATGGCACAGGACAAGAATAGCAAAATCACACCTAAGAATTACAGCGGGTTTTTTAAACTGTCAATCATTAATGTAGAAAATCCTTGAAGTATACAGCAGTTCAGAAAGAGTCTAATCACTCAGCAGATGCATTGTTCCACCATCAAAAGCTAACAGCCTAAGATTTCACAGGCTATAAATAAAATTAATCAGATTGAAAATTCTGAGCAGTTGGAAAAATATTATTATTCATTACCAGGTAAAAAACCAATTCTTCACAGCCATTTTTAAACATACATGGACAGGATCCTTAGCTGGCATATATTGGTGTAGCTCCATTGACTTTAACAGAATGATGCCAGTTTACCTAGCTGAGGATCTGTTCAGCGTGAACACTAAGAACACTTTTTAGCTAGTATACACTGCCAGACTGGTGTAAATTCTGCTATACACTGTGGGTGAAATTCACTCCTCAAAAGATGGTCCTTGCACTCCGTCATTTTCTTTTACTTTTTCTTTTTCTGAAGCCACAGACTTGTGCTGGCCCTTTCCAGGGCTGACTTTCATCTTGGGATAATGTATGGGAAATGAAGTGTTAAAGAATATGGTAGATGACAGCCAATTAGTTCTAATACATTGGCACCTGATTTTGTTCCCAGTAAAGTCAATAGCAAAGCTCACATTTACTCCTGTGCATAGGCGACTGCTAGGGGGTGCACAGGGGTGCATGTGCCCCCCCTGATGGCCAACACTGATGCTGTCGGTAGGGCTGGTGCCCCCCCCTGACAAGGCCGCCACCATTGGCAGTTTCTGTGGGTGCCCTGCCAGATTCAGGAGGCACCAGTCACTCATGCTCCTGTGGCAGCAAGATCAGGTCCTTATTTTGTGATAGATGTTCAAACTTTTTTTCAATTGCATCTCTTAAAATGAAACAGCTAATTAATGCTATTTGTAGTAAGTACTCTGCTCCTAAACATACTTTGTTCTGATTCTGAGTTGTTGTCCTCAAAGGCTGTTTCTGTTATTTGAAAGAAGTAAACATTTTTAAAAGGGTGAATTTTTTTTAAAAAAAAATACGTTAAGAAAATGAAGCATGAGGCACTGTAGCAAATAGTGCTCAGGAGGAAGAACAAAATTCTGAGCATCGTGAATCATAATTTCTGAATCAGTTATATCTTGGTAATTAACTTTTAAAAGCAGTATTCTTCCACAGCTCTGTTACCACTTATGCAAATACTTTTGAAAAAAAAAAAGATTTTTTTACATGTACAGAGTAAATCGTGACTTGATTATATAGTCTAAGAACCAAAAAAAATTAAGAAAAAATACAAATGTAAAGGATTTTCTATTATATTTTAGACAAACATATACTTTTAAAGTGTTTTAAATACTGAATCTATAATTTTTTTTAAAGTCCAGTTGTAATAGCTGAATGGTTTTGCTTCATCATGGCTACTAAAAAAAAACTTTGTTCAAATACACAGCTTTAAACAGAATCTTCAGTTGAATATATATATAAGGATGTATTGTGTCCAAATGTCATATCTAGAACCTCATTATTCATCCAAAAAACAAAATGCCATCATAGTATTAATTTAGCTTCAATTTTTTTACCCGCATGGAAAGCACTTAATTACATTAAGGTAGAAAAACAAAACAAAAATCTTCATACTAGAAGACTCTGAGCTACACTGCACTAAAATTAAGGTTTGGTTTTACTTATGTTAAATCTCCTTGACTGTAATATTTAGCTGTTAAAACTAAAGCCTCTACAGTGAAAAAAAGAAAAAAAGATAAAAAAAGAAAAAAGAGAAACACACACACATATACACACAAAACCCAACAAAAAACCCCACTTGCCCAAGTGTTGTTAAATTCAGCAACTTGACAGTTTGACTGATGTGTATTATATATAGCTCAATTATTTCTTTTTTTAATGCTAACTAGGCAAGCCAACTACACGTTAGCCTAAATGTGTAATTACAATGAACTGTCTCCTCTCTGTACTATTGGCCTTTAGGTATAATTATTATTAGTGATGTGGAAATAAGTAAAGGATGAAAGCTTTTTGCTAATGCTTCTTGTAACTCTAAACGTAAGGTTCATAGGCCAAAACAACATGCAGCATATTAATATTAGTATGTACATAAAAGGACCAACCCAACCAGGCACCTTATTCTTCAACAGGTTAACTTCCACATATAAAATACTTTTGTATTTTTAGAGGACTGATCCTGCAGCCTTTACTTCAGCATGTAATCCTTCCCTGTACAGTCCTAATGAGAGTTAAGGGTCAGGGCTGCAAGAAAAGGCCCTATGTCTAGATCCGTACAAAATCTATTCAGCAGAAGCAGCTTGTTCATAAGTATTGTTAATTTAGGTAGCATTTGCAATACTACTTAATTTGAGGATAACCTATAGTTCTCCATGAGCTACTTACTGAACGCTGATCTGTTTTATTCCTGCCTTTCTTCAGCTAGTTGCAGCTCTGAACCTAAAGTCACTGCCAGTGGGCTTTCAGAATGACCCCCTGTATTTTTTAATGGGAGTTAATATGGATGAGCCTGGTCACGTGTGTAGTTCAAAATGAAGTATCCAAATGTTAAACATTTCTGTGTACAACATCTCTCACTGTGTGACATTGAAAGTATGTTGGAAATCCCAGCCACGGATGATTGCAATACTTACCAAAAGTGCTGTGTTGTGATTCAAACATTTCTTCCCCCTCAAGTCAATTTATACAAGCCATATTCATAACACTGCCTGTGGGAGACAAGTAGTTTGTGTGCTATCATGGTGTGTTTTATAAGGACAGTGATGATGATGATTAATAGAAAATTTCATACTATTTGGAGTTGATTCCTGCTATATAACTAAATGAATGCAGTCCATGTTCTGAATAGTGGAAAGTCAATGGTAAACGCCTCAAGTATATATGGATTTTAGTGTGTTAACAGATCGTGTCATGTTAACTAACAAACCAGCTGTAACTGTTGTTAAAACCTGACTTTTGGGGGATTAATATTTTTTTAAGCAACAATATTTAGTTTTTAAAAAGCCTGTTAGTTTAGGTAGAATGTGCTTTTTTAGAAGCTAATAACACATTTTTAAAAGAAACTTATATAGTGAATTTATGAAAATTCAAGAGGACCAAAGCAAAATTTAAACAGGAATCTATTAATTTAGTATTCATATAGAATTTTATAAAGTATTTATTAATAAATGTTATTTTAAACACATTCCATTTGAACTTTGAACAGTATTCTTGTATGGAATCTGTTTGTTTTGTTTTGTTTTTTAAGTTACAATATTAGTTTTGCAGTAAACTACTCTAGGTGTATGTGTACCTTAATCTTTCAGGGTCTCGAGCAGAAGTCGTCCATCCAAGATGGAAAGGTTTGCTGAGGTCTGTTGTATAGAAATTCTTAGGATTAAATATTTTCTTTAAAGCAGCATCTGCTTTTTTGTATCAAACATAATAGCTGTAAACCTACAATTGTTTCCTATCTGTTTGAAAGTGTGCTCTCTCATTTTAGAAAGCGCAGATCAGCTACAGGAAAATGATACATAGAACTGGAAAGCCTGTCATTTTTAGGCTAATTATATGCATCCTCAATAGAGATTAACCCTATCCTTGCTTCTCTTCTAATATCTCATAGTGAGTTGCACTATACTGCCTTACCATTGCCCCTTCTGTCCTTATCTACTAAGCAGTGTTCCTTAGCTTTAGACCATTGAAGCTCCATTATATATCAGAGAAAATTATTGAAGGGGGAAGAAAAAAAAAGATTAATTTGTAGACAAAAACTAAATGGTGCCTTCAAAACCAAACCAGTTACAACTAATTAGTATCCTATTTCTACATTTCAATTATTTATATTATTTTAAAATTGCACTTTAGCTCTCACTTTCTCTTCCTTGTTTTCCCTTGTTCAATCATTTATAATACCTTGTAAAATGTTTGCACCAGATATATTTATATGCTCTAACTGGTGGCATATCTACAACTTGTCTCTCACACCCCCAAAAGGAGGACTGCTAGGAGAAGCTGAGTACAGCCGGTCTGCAACATGACTTTGACTTCACATCCTCTTCATGGTGGCATATAAATGTTTTATTATGCATAGCATGTGAGGCAACTAAGCTATACTTATAATCTATCTCATCTTGAGAACCAAAGTGTCCTGTATAACATAGCTCAGGAGACTGGCTCTGTCGTGCATTATAATGCACTTTGATTGTTTTCCAACTGTAGTAGCTACAAAGCTGCAAGGATAACAGTGGCCATACAATATGTTTGAATCCTAAGTCCATGAAATGTGATGTTACTTTGCAACTTAACTAGGGACAGCACCTTAAGAAAAGACTAAAACTTAAAGGAAAATCAAAAGCAATAAAATGTCAAATGAAAACTTATACCAAAAACTTGATCATCACCTGAAATGGTCGCCATAACATGAAGATGAGAAAGTTTGTATACACGCATAATCCCTTCCTAATACTTGTAGTTATCTGGGTTTTATCAGTGGCCTTATGTTTAGAGCTAAATTGCTTATCAGTGCTTGGTGTTTTCCCCAGAGTCTTCCATATTTTCCAAAACTACTTTACAGTAAACTTTAAAGATTGCAAAAGGCCAAATGTCAGTAGGGGCTAAAAGATTAATTCTCTAAATGTAAATCTGATACATTTCCACAATTTTCTTTAGAAATGAATTGATCATTATGACTGGCTATAAGTTTAGATCTAGGATTCAGAACCTATAACCCCTGTATGAATGCAGGTTAAACATTGTTTAGGTTATGTTTCATGAAGTGACACTGTTTTGGAGTCCCTCCACATATAATACAGCACTGGCCTCATGTTGCATCTAAAGATTATTGAACTGCAAAATATCTTTTTTAGCTAAATCTTTGAAGTAACAGATAGATTATCTATCTTCTGATACTGTGTCAGACACTGACGACTAACTGCAGCTTTAGAGAGCTTGCAGGAAAACAACAAGAGAAGGGCATTTGAGGGGAAATGGCTGGTGCTGATGGAGTCCACCCTTCTCCCTGGACCCTGCTACATGCCCCTGCCAGAGAACTTTTACCATGGTGCCTGAAAGGCAAAATAGTTTGCACCAAGGTTTTGATCTGTAGCCATTCTTCAGACAAACTTACGGACTATCAAGGAGAACTTTTCCCAAGTAAGGACTTCAACATTTGGGAAGCAGTTGTTTCTCAATCCATATACATGGGCTTTATTCCCATCTCCATAAATTGCTCAATTTAAAAACTGGGTAGCAATGATCATTAAAGATGGCTTCATTGAAATGCAGTCACTGTACTGATTTTTTAAAGAAGCTTTTAGCACTGTGTGCAGTAAACCTCATCTAAGGAAGTCTGTATAAGAGAAAGGTGCTGTCACGTTAAGTTTTGGGCTTGAGGTTGTTTGTATTGTACGCAAAGTTTTTGTGTTCGTTTGTCTGTTTATTCTGTAAAGCAACCACCTTCCTTACTGGAAGGAGAGATTTTTTTTTTTTTTTGGTACATAAGTGTAAATACTTGCTACAGCATTTAATATGTTTAATTTTATGTTAAGCTTTTTGTCGCATTGTGAACACATTTATTGTTACAAATGGACAATGAGTTCATTAAGACTGTTCAACTAGGTCAGATTTTTACATCTCTTTCTAGTTAGAAGAGACAAAATTTTGTGCATTTGTACAAATGTTAATAATATCACTGCAATTCCAATATAATAAAGCACTCAAATGTAAATAATGCCTACAGTTTTGCTGTGTCCATGTGTAGGAATAAGGAAGGTAACTTGGATACCACACTCATTGACATGCTAGAATAAAATCTTCCTGAAAGTAAGCTACACAGCTTAGTTCCTTTCTTAGCTTTCTCAGAAATAGATGTATTACAGCATCCTTATCTGCACCATGGTGAGCCTGTCACACTATGGCTTGCAGAGGTTGACCACTATGAAGGGGAGTGTACAACTGCTGCCCAGGAACTGAGGATCAGGATCTTCCAGAACTCTTACTTGGGCAGTAAGGTTATGTACTGTCCTCAAAACAAAGGTAGGCTGCCTTACAGAAGGACTCCATTCTTGCTCAGTGTCCAAAACACTAAGAAGTGTGGTGATATCTTTATTTAAAATTGCTTCTCATGAAGATGCATCACAAGACTATCTTATTGTCCCTGCAGTTATATTCACACCTGACAAAACAGTATAAGACATATTTATGCTGACTAGACAGACAGTGATTCATGGTTTCCTTCAAAGACCGAAAACCAAATCGCTTTGTGTTTGTTCCTGTCTCATTCTCTCCAAGGTTACAACTCATCCATCAATGTTGCTCTGTGCAAAATAATTGTAACAAAAAAGTTACTAATCATTTTTTTAAAAAAGAAAGAAAATTAGCACAAGATCTTCCCTTTCCTTGACAATTGTGCAGCCGAGGATGAAACCAACTCTAAGCACAAGCTCAATCAGTCAAAGGCTGATTCAGAGGCTAACACTAGATTGTTAATGGATAGAAACCAACAGCTGAAGTGCTGTATCTAGCAACATGTAGGAAAGTGAACTGAATTTAGATGCAAACAAAGCCTCTATGGTAAAGAACAAAGGGATAGGAGACAAATCTTGAAGCATTAAACATAACTTTGGATGCCCTATTACAAGGAAAAGACCTGGAAAAGGGTACAGAAATGAGGAACAATAAATCCCTAAGGATTTAGAACAGTGATTCTCAACAGGGTGTCAGGGCACCCCAGGGTGTAGCCAGATCCTTTGAAAGGTGTTGTGAGGTGTGAGGAGCTAAATTAAGTAGGTAAACAGGCTAAGGCTTGTCCCTGCCTGAATGATCCCTCACTGCCCAGCCCCTCTGAAAGAAGGTAAGCACCGTAATCTAAAAATTAGTTTTTCAAACTGGGTGCCACTCAGTTCACAAGAGTTATGGAGGCGTGCCTCAAGTCCATTGAGGGGTGCCTCAAATAAAAAATGGTTGAGAAGCACTGCTTTAGAGATGCAAGATTTTAGAAAAATAAGCCTTATGTTGTTTGTCTTGCATAGGATGATATGATCAACATGAAGAAGTTGTACTGATTTGCCTAAATGACATTAGGTAATTAGGAACAGCCCCTCCTATGACACTTAAATCAAATTAAAGGTGCCTGGTAGAAATTTGAAGCAGTTCTGTCTGCATCAGACAGAACACATACACTTGTGGCATTTCACATGCTTTGAACTAAAAACTGATATTTTGAAATGAAATTTTAAGATTAGAAATATTCAAAAGGTTCTCCTCTCCTTCCTTGAAAATAGGTTTTTTAATCGTTTGTACTGTGAGCAGTCATACGCTGGTGTCCCAGACACTGTACAGACAAGGAAAAAAAGATGGTCACTTCCCTTTCTGTATGCCTACGTGGCACAATGCTTTGGGACCTGAAGCAACATAGCCATGTTAGTGGGGTGCCCTCAACATAGCTATAAAGCATAAGTGAGGCATTGTGCTAATGCAGCAATGGGATTATTTCTAAACCATTTCAACTGAAACTGCATGAAAAGCCTTAGCTAGGCAGTAGCACTGGGTGAGTTTCATTGTATAAGGCTCTTTGGCTTCCATTCTCATATGCAGTCAGTAAAAAGGGGATAAAAGCAGCCTCATGTCTCCATTATAGGATTGTAATATAACAAAGAGCTCAGGGATGATTACAGTTATCCCCCAGTGCAGCCAGATGTTACCAGAGTACTCCAACTTTTCATGGCTGGCAGACCGACACTGATAGGCCATAGCTAGCCATAGGGACGTCCCATCCTATCCTGCAAAATGTGCGGCCACACGGGTCCCCACAGCCAAGGGACCCCCTGCATCTGGCCATTTGCTGCCCCCTCCCCCCACCTCTGCCACCCCCTGCCTTCTTCACGTCAGGGGGCCCCCAAACTATATTTTCCAGGGCTGGGGAGGGAGGCGGCGTAGTTTTGGTGGCTTTGTTTTTTTAGCCAGTTTAGCTCCTTGCAGGGTCCCGGTAAGGAGCTAAACTGGCTAGCTTTGGCCTGTCAGCATAGAAATAATCCCAGAACTGGGGAACTGTGACCATTTTCTTGTTGATACCTCATCCTAAGAAAAAATCTGGCTCCCAAGAAGTGAATGACATACAAATCAGATCCTACAAAGGGAAACAAATGAGAAATAATTTTGAAAGTCAAACAATTTAAAAGGTTTATAGCCATTAGAGAGGAGGGGGAAATCTATGAGAATTGTTTGGGATGTGCTGAATTTTGCCATCTGTTATGCTATTATAATTTACTTTTTCTTTGCTCTTAACATGCTGCCTGTATGCAATGGAGAAGTGTGTCTTAATATGTAAGAGGTAGCATTCATGCTTATCCTGAACTTAAACCTTTAACTGCAGTGCACTGTTGAGTTTTCCTCTCCAGCCTGCTCTGTTCTCCAGTGCAACACAATGCTATGTTATGAAAACGACCCTTTAAAGCTGATAAAATATTTAAGACACATGTTCTGATTGTGTTATGTAAGCAAATACCAAGAGAAGCCTGACCATTAGTGAACCTGATCAGCCCAATCTCCAAGGACCTGCTTAGAGAACAATCAAGATTGGCCCTAGACACAAGCAAGCTGGGCAGTTGCCGCTCAGGCAGAAAGGAGCACAGAGGTATATTCGGCAGGGGATCCAGGGATCTGAGCATGCTGACACCCTACTGCAAAATTATGCAGCAGGTCAGTGGGTGTTTTTACAGGGCACTGCATTTGGCTTGACAGCAAGTCGAGTTAAAAGAAACAAAAATACTTGACCTTTCATGGAGAAAGTTACAATGAGGGTAGAAAAAAAAAGAGAGAGGGGGAGGAAAAATATCAGACTTGTGGAAAGCCAGAGCATTTGGATTCTATTGATTCACAGAACAGCATTCAGCATGAGTGACCTTCATTCACCCCATCACTTCTTTTAACATTTACAAATTATTTTGATTCTTCATTGTAGGGTATCAGAACTAATTCCAGTCTAGTAAAAAGGTCTTATCCAACAGGGCTCTGTTAAAGATGCAAGTTTTTTGTGTATACATATGCACGTTTGACAGTAATATTCAAAATCAGTTACAATGTAATTCTACCCCCACCCCTGCCATTCACTGTGTTCAATATGACAGTTCTGTATCAGAACAAATGTACATACATGTGTGGGATTTTACATGCTTTGATCTAAAAATTGATATTTTGAAAAGAAATTTCAGGATTAGAAACATTCAAAATGTCCTCCTCTCCTCCCTTAAAAATAGGTTGTTTTAATCATTTGTATTGTGACCAGTCACTGGTGCCTGACAAGGAGTAAAAGATGGTCACTTCCCTTCCTGTAGGTCTACATGCCACAATGCTCAGGGACCAGAATCAATATAGCCAGGTTAGTGGGGTGTCCTCAGCGTGGCTATAAAGCATGAGTTAAGCATCATGCTAATGCAGCAGTGTGAAAGTTCAAGTCTCTAAACTAGCCGTGAATGCGTGAATGCATTGTGCCATGCAGACACACCCTTAGAACGGAGTCCTAGTGGAGTGCACTAAACTGCATGCAAAAGAGTCCAATTTTAAGTCATATCCCTATGTAATATCTGAAACCCAATCTGATTCAACTACTGACATGTTCTTTGCAAATAATTATACAGTGCTACTATCAAGCTTGAGTTTTGTGAATTAAGCTTGAATTTTGTGAAACAGCCATCCTAGCCAGTTCCAGAGAAATATATTTTGTTGTTTTTTGTTTTGGTAAAAATATTCTGTGTGCCTGATGACCCAGTGAGTTCATAGAAGCCCTACTCTTTCCACTGTGATTCCATGAGATAATAAAATAAACATGCCTGCATAATGTAGCTATTCTGTGCCCTTTTCCTCTCCTGTATCCTTGCACCTTATGACAGACCCTTTTAAGAGGCCTGTCTCAACTGCTGTGGTACATATGGCAACTGGATGTCTGTGACTGACAATGGGGGCAGTGATTGTCATTCTCCTGTAAGAAGACATCCTGTTCAAATGGCATTGTGTGTATAGGTTCCCCTCACCAACCACGGTTTTGCCAACCACGTTTCTGAGCAGCCACACTTAATATTCTATATACCATTTTGGCTACCAGGGTATACAGTTTTGAGTAACCACTGTTTTCCATGGCCGTGCATCAGCCTGTCACCTGCTATTTTTCCCATAAGCCTTTTGCCTTGCCAACCATGTTTTGCCAACCATGGGAACTTTCCATGGTTGACGAGGAAGACCTGTATGCAGTTTGTCATCATCATTAATAATAAAGCTCCTGTCAGCCACCTTCTATATTGCAGGTGGAAGCATTAACAGAAAGTCCTGGGATAGTTGTACCCAAGGACATAACTTGTAGCTATGCTAATAGTGGCTACACTCTAAGTAGGGATGGCCAAAATGCCATAAACTGCAATAGTAAGCAGCTCTGGTGCTGATTCATTAGTAAAGTGATTTTCAGTCCCAATCTCTGAGCATGTTGGCTCTGTGAAGCTGACAACAGTTGCAACTTTATTTTCATTAAAGTAAGCAGATGTGACTCTGAAGCTACACTGAGTGAAGCCATCGAGTAAGAGCATATATTTCTATGCTGCTATTTTTTCAGGGTAGAACTGTTCTTTTAAACACACTGGAGGAGGCTTTCAGACATCTCTTCATGTGGGCGATTTCCTCATGTCTGTGGTGTCTGACACCTCTCAGTGACAGCTGTACAAGGTTCTCTTGTGCAATTTGCTAACTCTAGTATCATTCTAAACACATGGCCCTGATGG